CGAAACCTATCCCTCGGGCCAAAGGCCCTCGGGCTAGTTCGGCCCTCAGGGCATTATAAGGTCCGTAACGCCCTTGGTACATAAATAGCTATTAAAACCCCCCCACTTGGAAACAGCCAGGGCCAAAAATCCATCATGGCCTCCTTTAACTGGGAATAGCTCCCCAAAAATCCCCACACAACCACCCATTCTCTTCCTTTTTACGCACCCTTTCACCCCGATATCCCCCTCACCACCCTTTCCTCATCTTCCCCCCTCACCCAACCTAGCCAGAGGTACAAATGCACTGGAGGCATTCACTAAACATACAAATGAATCGCACATCTAAATTTAAAAGAAAGCCTAAGAAAGGGAATCACAAAAGAGCAAAAGTTCTGCCCAACTAGCTGAAGCCTAAATATCCGCAACACCATGAATTTATATTTATTATATTAAATTTAATTTTCCCAACTTTTGAAAACATATTAGGCAAAATGTATTAAAATGTATTAAATAAAACTACGTTTAATCCTAAAAAAAAACATAAAAAATTGCAAAAGTTCACAGTTTATAAAACCTCTCTTTACCCGTTAGCACAAATAAACTAAAAAGTTTTACTGTAGAATGGAAACGAGAAAATCATAGATTTGTTATTCATTCTAGGACTGTGTGAAACCCCTGATTTGCTGCAAGGGCCTGGAAGATCAATTTTCAATCGCGAGTACATGTTTTACCATCGATTTTCCCCGTTTTCGGTTTCAAGACTGCACCAACGAGCGAAGAAAGCCTATTGCAGTGACGTAAGTTACTCTAGTCCACAGTTGGAAAATTACGTCCTCGTTACGAAGATATACGGCTTTTTCCTTGCAGGAAGCCATGCAAAATTACAAGCGATCACAGTCAATGGCAACCCATCGAAGAACACGACCGACGATACATAACTTTTTACAGGAGTATCCGAGATCAGCGCCCACAATAACTTTCACAGCTAACAGTGAATTATCCAGTAAATTTTAACTGGTTGTTGTATACAGAGTGGCCCATCTTGTTTGAGAGTTTAGCTCCAGCAAAAACGAGTTAATTTTATATACGATGATGATTCTATATGTTCAAAAAGTGGTATTGAAGTCGTTTTTATCGTGAAATGGTCGGGATTAAATTGAGGCCACCGTGTACGTTTTGTATTTTTATTAACAAGTAATTTTATATATTAACTGTACAGTAGGTACTTCAAGTCAAAATTAAACTATATTCTATGCAGTTTTAGTGTTTTATTTTCAGCAAATGAAAAAACATTAATCTACCTTGCAAAATAAAGCAAGAAGAAAATCAAGTGCAAAGTGCAGATAAATAATTCAAGAGCGGTTTCTAAAAACGTTTAGTGAAGGTTATTAAATCATTATAAAATTGGGTGAAATGATATAAATATTCATCAAAGAGCGCTTTAAAATTTCTTTGCTATTTATTAATAAGCATCTGTATTATACCCTGGGAGCGAATAGGTGTTAAGGATGCTCGAACGAGGCTTCTGTTTATTGTTGATTGGAATACCAAGTTTCTTAGTTTTTTTCATTTATCTTTGTGATATTTAGCAAAGTTTGAAATCGGCGCTGTTTGAATTAAAAATTATAATATACTTTTGAGTGTTAACTGTGAATTAAATTTTTCGTTCACTGTAAGTCCAAATGACTCAATAAATTATTTTTAATTTCTTTTAATTAACGGAGGGTTAAAAAGTATGAAAAAGTCAAACTAATAACATTGTAGTAAAATTTGCGCTACTTGACACTATGACACATATAAATGCATCGATTTTAATTCTCAAATATTCCTTTTGCGATTAAAGCAATATTTATATAAAACACGTAAAAATATGAATTTGATTAACGTGCACTAGAAGTCTCTATTTTGCCATACAATTAAATTTTCGACACATTTGAAAATACTTTTTTAGATAAAAAAATCGAATTTTTCAATTGCGATTTTGAATATATTTTTAAAATTTAAGTTGTAATGCAAATTTAAGTCGAATAACAATTGTTCATGAAAACTTATTTCAATAAGAGTAGGTAATCAAATTTATATGAACTGCAACAAAAATATTGAAAGGCAAGTGAGTATCCCACCAATTTTAACTTTTTAAATAATTACTTATTATCTTCTGATAATGTTAATATTTCAATGGGTTTCTAATTGTTTTTAGTTGTCAGCCAGTTAAGTTCCTTAGTGCTTAGTTTTAATTGACCTAATGGGAAAATTTCAGCCATGCAAAATTAGATATTCATCTATACGATTTACAAGAAGAAGAAGAATAATGAAATTAGTTCACGACATTTGCTCGGGTTACTTGTCTCTCTATGTGATATTTGTTATCACTTTCCTTTGGATACCTAGTTTCTGCTCTTTATAACTTCGATAATCTGCTTTGCTTCAAATTAGATGCAAAATTGCCCAATATCAATCCAAGTATTTAATTATTTACTTAAATCAATGTACATGAGAATTTATTAGACAATTGTAATAATACTTTATAAGTGTTTGCAAATGTTCGATTTCTGCAAAAATGTTAAATTTTATTAAAGTTTAAAAAAATCGGATCAAAATCGAATAATTTGAACGTTACGGTTCGATAGCTTGCCGTTCAAACGCGCTTAACAAAGAGAGGGTACCATAATCTTCAAGAATTCTCCGGACTCGAATAAAATTCTAGTTATTCCCGCGGAAGAGACAGTCTCTTTAAGAAGATATCTAGTGAAACAAGTGAAATGAAGAACTTATGTATAATCTTGGTAAGTAAATCGCTTACAGCTGATTAATCAATCAATCCATCTCATCTGTTTGGGGATAAATAAGTAATTCAATTACGGCAAGGCTTTATTTGAATTATTCTGCATTTATTAATGTATGAATATGTATCAAATTATTAATTATTGCTGACAGTTTTGCAGTCATGCTGTTTTTATATTAACTATTGAGAAGATACGAAAAGGTGATTAAAAAGGAAAAACATTTTTAACGACAATAAGTTTATAAGTTATAAAAGTACAATAAGTAAAAAATAGTATAGTTTATAATCCTGTACTTATCTGAGATACTTTATTCAGCCTGCAGAAGGTTCTTTATGCTTTACTTTCGCTCGATTTTGATCTCGACCTTCTTCACCTTCATATCAATAGGTCTTTATAACTTTTTGTAAGCAAAAACAAACAGTTTTGTCTAGCGACAGTGTTTTTCGCTCTAAAAAGTTCTTTGAACTTTTGCTTTTTTATTTAAATGTGGATCAACTTCAAAATCTTCCCTGCCAGCCAGACATAATGTCATTCTATGGATTACATTTATACACGTTTTACGTGTAGCGAAGGTTGCGATATTCAAATCTTACTACTTTTTGAAGTAGGTTAGCAAGAAATAATGTGCGAACCACATTTGGGTTTCATAAGTAGCTACTTTGTTAAGACAAATATGTTATTAAGAAATATATCTCGATGATTGCATTAACACATAACCACCGCTATTGCAAGTCGATCGACATTACTATAAATGATCAACGATAATTAGGGGTAATTGTAAATGAATTAGAGGCGAAGACGTTTGAATACAGAAGTAAATTAAACCTGAGCACCAACACCTTGCCTTATTAAGTAAAGCTAGTTGAAGAATTATAGCACTTTTTAAACTGCAGTAGGTATATCAAAGACAATTTAATGGAAAAATGAGTGTATCGAATCTTTTAATTTTATGCATTACAATTGCTCTAAAATGTATGTGTTTTACCAATATACATAATAAAGTTTTTATTAGTTTTCCAATTGTGCATGCAGCGTTGTTGACAAATATTTCCGTACACAATTTCATTACCACTATCAAATAATTGCTTATACAAATATCATGTATTCTTCAATTAATATTGACTTTCTGTTTAAAAACTATTAAATATAGTTTCTCAATTTAGTTGCCCTTGTTAACTTCGTGAAATTTTATTGATAATAATAAACTGTTTTTGTTTTAAAAAATATATCAGGTATAACTAAAATTAGCAAAACTTTGCTGCTTGTGAACTTGTGTGTAATGAATCCTTAAGTGAAGGTTTCGTTTGTCTTATATTGTACGAATCCAAAAATGTATTTGCGTTATTTGGAAGTTTTGAAATATTTTCAGTAGATTAAAAAATTATTTTTGACGCATTTATTTCCTTTCAAAACTGAGAAAAACAAGATTATTTATTATATTCGGTGTGTTCAAAATTCTTCTAAAATATAACCTTATATTCAAGCATGTTTAATGCTTATTTTGTAGGTGTTCAAAATGTATGAATTAACTTCCTGCCTACACGCAAAGCTGATTTTTTTAAAATTAGATTTAATTTTGTCTGTTTCTAGCTCTTGTTTTGTTTGTTTCTTCCTTGCTCAAATCTTTAAGTAAATTAGGCAAAAAAATATTTTTACGACGATTTCGTGGATTTCAAAAATCTGATGATCGTTCATATCTTGAAAATGTTTCTGTTCGAAATTAATTCCTACCTTTTGTTACTTTTTATGTTTATTTTATTTTTCGTAAAACTGCTTTGGTGAACAATTTTGTCACAGCGTTGCACCGAAATTTGACTGTAGTTTTCTTGCTTTGATCATCAAACATTCTTTGACCGCATCCATGTCCTTTTTTCGAACTCACTATCTTTATTATGTTCTCAGTGTATTTTCATCGACTTACATTGCCTACTTGGAGCTCAAAAAAATTGATAAATGATGTAAATTCGTTTACTCAAAGATTATTTCACACTGTCCAGATAGTCGTACGAGTAGGTACAACAAACATGATATTTGCTCTATAATTTATTCCTACTTTAATTTACCCTCTAGCAATGCAATAATGAATTACCAAATCCGTTGACAAAAAAATTATAAAGTCAAATGAAAATATTAACACAATTCCATCAAGTACCAAAACACTTCCCAATTCTAAGTGTGAACGTTCTCAATGAAGCGAATAATTATTTTACCCAATTTGCCAAGCGAATTTTGTGTATGAATCTAATGAATGAACACCCGTGTTGTACAACTCCAGAATTTTCACATAGCCGATATTAATATTCCAATTTAACAGAAGCCGCCACCATTATTCACATGTGCCCGTTTCAATTATATAACCGATTCAATTACCTAAGTGTAGTAAATAATAACAATATTATGTCAATAACAGTGACTATTAAAGAATTACATCTTCTCATAATTTTCAGCCTACTTTGGGCATTGAATTCTTACTCGAATTGTTACTTTCACCCAGACATCCTTCGTGTTGTGCTGTGTCATCGGTTCGATCAGATGGAAAAAAAACCCAGAAGAGAATTGTAAAATGCAAAAATGTCTATTACAGGAAATCGACATGAGAATGTTTTAAGTAACAACCTGTTGCTGACATTGTCTTCATCTTTTACAGTATTTTAAGTAACTGTAATCTGTAGAGAACCAATTGACTAAATCAGACAAGATTCTGTGTTTAGGATTCTCTTTCTTAGTGCTCTCTCTTTCGAGACACTTGAAGACGGCACTTGACTTAATAATGACAAAAGCTGGAAATGTTTCGGTATCTCTTTCACAATTTTCAAGTGCAGGAGTTGAGTGGATGTTCAATAACAAAAATGCATGACTTGTAAAATTTCACTTCAATAGTATTCAATTACAAAATATCCTCACCCTCATCCTCAGTTTTTTCCAAATTCCCAGGTTCTATTCAAACGTTATTTACTGAAAATCAGAAATACAAAAGCAAATAACCCGTTCGATAACAGTGAAAGTGGAATAAATTTGAAGACACGAAAATCTACGACTCTGGTTACGTGTGCCTGAAAAAGCGAATTGCCGCTATTATGAAAACCGGAATCCTAACTTTCTTTTGATGATGATACTGTTTATAAACAATACGAGCGCCAGATTGAATCCGAGACGCTCAAGGATTCGATTTTTGTTTGAAAATAAGTTTTTTGTTTGTCATAATTGACGTGCCTTATGTTGATTCTCAAGTTGCAAGATCGGATCAAATCATAAAAGTAGAAAGCGAATTTGATCGCTAAATTTAGTACAATATTACTGAAACGGCTATGACAGGTGAACTTTTAATTAATTGGTAATTTTTAGGAGAAATTCAATCATTTGAGCACTAAAGAAGGCGCAGTTCTTACATTAATTACCACAGGACGCACATCCGCATGATCTTAGCACATTATTATTATTTTTATTAGATAGAATATTTGAAAGATATTCAGGAAACAAAAGCTTCGTTTAAAATAACAGGCGAATAAAAGGAAAAGTGACAATGTTGAAGCAATAAAACCTTTTTATAGTGCGAAGAAAGATGGCTGAACTTTTCCCACTGTAAAGTTAACGAAAATCAACTTCGGGCTTCAATATCTTTCTTAGTGCTGCACAGTAATTACAAGAATTTTTCGCAATAACTACAATCAATCGAGTCAATCTGTTCATCAGAAAATTCGATTTGAAGATATCGCTTCGTCTAGCACAAAATACACTCTATTATAAAAGCAACTAATGATATGAACCAATATTGTTGGCCAAAACCAGAAATAATTAGCCAAACAATAGATGATTCAACCTATATTAACAATAGTGTATTCTGTATGAAATATGTGTATGAAAAGGGGTTGCATAAGAGAAGATGTATACAACAAAAATTAAGCAGATTTGGTAGTATATAAGAATTTGCAAGTTATTCCGTTTATTAAAGAAAACATCGCACTTTGTCCAACATTATTTACATCATATATAGCAACAAAAAAACATGAACAAACACTTGTTTGACCAACAATTAGAATTATTATTAGTTGTTTCGCTCAGCTTTTGCTTAGTTTTAATTTCTGTTTTTCCATTACGCAATAAATATGATAACTAGATTCTAAGAACATAAATCAATAAAACTTCTCAGGAGAAGCAGGCATATACTTATTTATATGTTTAACAAAATTTATAACTTTCCTCTTCGCTTATTCTGTTCTAAAACAATTCGAGTTTATACAGTTATATTTGCATTTGATTTTTCCTTAAATTATTTGTGTACATTTCTGGCAAATATTTTTGTTTATCTTTGTTGTTTTACTGTAGATTTCAATTGTCATACAATATACATAACAGCAGTATTGTGAATATTCAGTTTTAATCAAAACGTTATCAATCAATTGTTTGGGAAAAAATATAGAAAAGTCGATATGCCATGCTAAATATAAAAAGAGTTTAATACTAAATTAAAGGACAGAAAGCGACAATACAAGTAAACGATAATAAGAAATTGCGTATAGTTTAAAGTTTGTTAATAATAAAATGACCCAAAAGTTAATTAAATGTGCGACACTTCATTTATTTCCCTCTAATTGCGTTCTCGCTTATGTAAACTAAAACTAGACAGATTCATTATTAGATCAACAAATTATTGAAAACAAAACGGTCAGAATCACCAAAATGAAATTAGAAAAACAAGCAACTCAAATAATTAAGTTTTATTCTGGAAAATATATTTTTCGTATGCATTTTTTCCGTAATTAAACCCTAAATTTATTTCTTGATATCATTTTAACATCGGGTAACACAAGAGCGCATTTAAAAAAAAACAGTCATACTTAGTAAGTGTGCAAATTATCAATGTATAGACCAATGTTTCTTCTTAACTTTGTTTTATTACTTTGCTTTTAGTAGAAAGTAAAATATGTTAATAAAAACTTTTTAATTCAAAAATTCAGCAAAAAGTTCTAGAAAAGGCCATCTGCCGCTCTAAACTAAAAAAAAGATTGAAGCTAAATTAAAGAACAAAAAGTCAAAGATTACGACACGATAAGAAAAAAATAGAATGTGCAAAATCGTTTAAAAGCAAATATTTATTTATAAGCAAAATGAAAAAGTGTTCGAATTGCGACGCGATAAGCAGAAATGAAGGGTAATTAAAAGTTTTATTAAAAATAAAATAAATGTGCGCCATTTTACCTGTAATGTAAATTTCGAGTTTTCATATATTTAATTGGGCTCTCGTTTACCTGTATTGGACCAGACGGCTTCAATATTACATCAGCAAATTATTTAAACCAGAAAATATCAAAATCACCTAAGTTAAATTACAAAAATAAACGAACCGAATAATTATATTATACTCTGAAAAGTGTTTTTTGATCATTCATTTTTTTCATAATTAAACCTCAGACTTATTTATTCATATTAATGTTTCAAGAATTCTTACTGTGAATCGCATTCGTAGCATTTGCTTATTTAATGGAGCTTGGAGTGATGTTAACGAAAAACCTATTTTCAGTAGAAAATTACATTTTCAAAAGTTTATTTTGTTGCGCCCCAAATTCCATCAAAAAGCACAATCTACCGTTGACGAAAATCGTAAACAAGGCAACATTATTAATATATTATTTTGTGGTGTTTTGGTACTTAACGATTTGCTACTTGGTAACTTTATTAGATTATTCGCCTATGAATTAATAGTTAAATTAATCGCTGACTAACAAATTAGGACTTATAAAGCTTTATCGTAACCGCAGACGCGCCCAAACCCAAACACCTCAACTAAACTGATTGAGATGCACGCTTTTCAAAGCTAATTGAGATCAAGATGATGATCAATTAAAATATCTGGTTATCCCACTTAATTCTTTTAAAATGCGTGTAAAATATGCAATTTAACGATTACCTTTAACGTTGCTTCCCCCTGCGAGTAATTGCCGATTTCAACAATGCATATTAGCTAATACACTTAAACAAAACGCATTTACATGCCAAATAACAATTTGCCTAATTACTTTGCAGTTATTTCTGCTTGTTTGGTCACCCGCCCAAATTCAATCGCGCAAAAACAAGAGGAAAGCTGTTAAAACTACCACAGAATCGCCTGAGGAAACCACTTTGCAGCCAGCTATTATAGCCATTGAAATCGTAGACCCCAATGAAAATTCGACCAGTGTGAAAAATTCGAAACGTACTATAGAAAGCGCCTTGGGATATGGATACAGTAAGTTTAAATCACTTAGTAAATTAAAAAATTCAATTAATCAATTAATGCCAAATTTATTTATAATTGAACAGGCGCGTGAAAATATTGCGAATCTAGGAATTTTCAAGCGCGGAAATCGCCCAGTGGCATTACACCTGTCTTTCCTTCATTTATAAGGAGTTAGCTTTCACTGCTCGACCATATGGATGTTGCCATTTAACTATCGCTTAACACATCACATACTTTTCAAGGATAACAATGATTTTTTTTTTCGTTTAGATAGTTACGAGAAGCCCAGATATGAAGTGTACAAGTACTCGCAGCACGACATCCCAGGCTACAAAGGAGATAGCTTCAAGAGCTCACCCACTACCCCATTCAGTGTGCAAAAATCAGTTCAATATACTTTGCCAACAGTCACTGAGCAAATTCACACTATTCCCAGCGTGCTCGCGCCTGGAACTACTCTATATTCCAGCCTCAGTGCCAAAGGACAAGTGGGAGGCCTCACTTCAAGCCTATCCCAAATATCTGAGCTGCAAAACACCCAAAGTCCCTTACCGGTAATAGTCCTTAGGATCTATCCAGATCAGCTGAAAGACTCCACCATACAAGCAAACCTGCCGGAGAATCATCCATTTTCCAAAAAAATCAACTCGATTAACATTCAGTCACTTCTCAATCACTACATCAATGCGATCCAACCACCCGCTTCAGTGAGTCAGTATTCAACTAACACCGGATATGTGAGTCCATCGCGGAATGTTTACTCCACCAGTCAACCTTACACAGCTACAGCTCAAAAAGCCCAATATAACAGATACGAGACTCCAAATTACTTTACCCACACTGGCTATCAAGTGCCAGCAACTTACCAAAGCAACAGCGCTTCCCAGTATTATCAACCTGGCTACAAACAACAGTCCTATCAGCAATCATACGAACAACCTCAGCAGTATTCCGATTACAATGGAGTGCAACTTCAGGAAGCTCCAATCAAATATCAGTTCAAGTAAGCGGGTGAGTTGCTATGTTAAGTACTAATTTAAAACTTGCAATTTTTGTAGATATGAAAGCCCAACGACGCAGGTGAAGCACGTTCCTAAAAAGCCTGAACCGCAATTCTACTACGTTCAACCCACCACGCAAAGCAGCTACTCCACTCCGACTTCTCAGTACTACCAGCCCACGCAACAAGCGGATTACAGCAATCAGCTGGTGCAAGCGGCAGCACCACAAAGTCAGCATTATTTACCTGCGAATGATCAGCAGTATGCTGATTATGAAGCAGAGCAACCGCAGCAATATGTGGCCACCAGTCCAAAGCTGCTTACTGAAGAGAATTACCCTACAGATAAGCACACAAGGGTGGTGTTCCGGACTGCAACCGGTATGATGAAGGAAAATACATGTTGAGATTAGTCCTGAATGCTTCGAGTTTAAAAAGTTGAATATATTGAATGAACCTAGACCACTAGTGGCCGAATTCCAATTTGTAATTTTTTTGTGAAAAATTTTAATTGTAATTTAGTCTGCAGACCAAACTTACTGACTTAATCATGAAGCAAAGTGAAACAAAATTTCTTTAAATCGAACGGTTTGAAATATTTAAGAAAACTTTAACGCTTTTTGGTAGAGCCATTGATATATCCCTACCTAAGTCGACAAAAAAAAATTGAATTTAAAAAAATATAACCCGCATTTTACAAATTGTTCAAAGTTGTAGTCATTTCTAAGGAACTTTCGTGATTTTTTAGCTTATAAGCCCACCACTTTCGAGGTTAAAAATTTACTTTGGTTATAGATAATCCCTCACTTAATAACTTTTCTTAGTGGCGTTTCTTGGAAAATTTCGGCTTTCGATCGCTTTTCATTTATTAAAATTCTCTGTTTTCCCATAAGGGAACAAAAAAAATAATGTGTTATAAAGTATACATTTTTGGCACGTGCAGCATCGGCATTATGAAACTTTTGTATCTAACAGCGTAAACTCAAACAACCTGAATCTGTTTTCTTGTGAGAAATATCTCAATTTGCAGAAAGTAGTCGAAACCCGCATTTTTCCAAGAAAAACAACTCGGAAAAGTTGTTTGTGAAGAGATCAGTGATGATAAGATCAGTACATTTCAACTTCGATCGCATGGAGAATGTAAACTATCAAACTACCAACATTTTTTAAATATGCCATCTCAATTTGGATGAAACGTTTCAAGACGTCGATTAAATCTCGAATCTCGAATTAAACTCTTATGTTTTTTATATCTCGAAAAAAATGAAAATCTATTTGTACAGGGTTGTAGTTTGGTAGACCAAACTTACCTTTTTGTAAATGGAATGCCGTACTTTTTATTGCATATTCGAACTATTCGCACAATTCTAAGCCTGCTCGATATAAATGTTCTATAATGATTTTCACCTGTTTTTGAGTTAATATCCAATATCGATTGAACTTCGGCCACCCCGTTTTTGCAATTTCAAATTAAATGTAAAATCGGGGTAGCCAAAGTTCAATCAATATTGGTTATTAACTCAAAAACAGTTGAAAATCATTAGAGAACAGGACCAGGATAGAACAATGCAAACATTTTGCGTTTGTCGGTTAAAAACACAGTTTTAGAAGATGAAATGCTGTTGGTTTTTGTCCGAATTGTGCGTAAAAGTCAATAAATTTCAATATTTGATTGATCACTCGATTGTTACCAACCCACTTAAAGAAAAGGAAACAGTAGATCCAAACACAAAAAAAATCAAGCTGTTGAATTGATGGTAAAATTAAGATTGGTAAATAAATTAATATTTTGTCTTAATATGAAGCCGTAAAAAAGAGTCAAAATTTGATACTATTTTGCTAGTACATTTCAAAATACATTTCTTCTTCAAGTTTCCTATAAAGCTATAAAGTTTACACTTTTCTCTTTATTTAACTGATTCTTTACATCAGTCCTCTACTGAAGAGTAGTTGACATATTTCTTAAAAAGAACATATTGAAATTTTATTTGTTAGTGAATGTTTCATCCTACCTTTTTTTGCAGTTCGCGCCTTTCACTATGGCAAATTGTAACAGCCAATTTATTGAAGCAATTTTTTTCCAGGAAATGTTAGGACTCCAGAAGAGGACTCTACAACTCCAAAAGAAGTAAAAACCATCAACATCCAAGTCCCTGATAACATTGCCAAAGTTGAAGTTCAAGAAACCGAAAAACCGTACTACGGCTACCAGAATTCGTATGCTTCTGATCAATCAAACGAACCTTATGCAGAGCCGCTTCGAAGCTACTCCAAGCTGAAAAATGCCGATAATTATTACGTGACTCGCGATACAGTGCGTCAGGATTATTACAACGCTGATGATACTCCTGAGGATGGAGGCTACAATTATCAAAACATTGACTATGAACAAATGGCCAAGTATTTTGTGCGGCGAGGGGCGATGCCGCGCGACTTCTACCAACAGCCTGCAGACGCAGAAGATGCAGATGTGGACAATGGCCGGAGCAATCAAGACGATCTTGCTGCCGCTTATGAAGAAGCTGCTTTTCCTTCCACCACCACCGAGCCTTCAGAGATGAAAAAAACGAAAACTAAGAAGAGGACGTAGGAATAAAATGAAATAACTGGTGGAAAGTGTGTACAGATAATGATACATTGAATTAGTACCAAAAAGCACTTTTGTACCCAAAGATATTCAGGTATGGAAATCTGGTAATCAAAGATGTAGGTTAAAGAGCCAAACTATTGCGATGCAATACATGGTTGGAAAATTGCTGGTGTTCATCCATAAAGGAGTGTCTCTAATGTGATAAAAATTTCAATATCGTTGCTCCTAAAAAATTGTATAGTATTTTTTCGGTTTCCCTGAGTACTTTATTTCATCATCTCTTTCATCTGTTGTGGTACATAAATGACTTCCATACCTTTATATAAGTACAGTACAAATTACATTGATGTTGTGCTATGTTTTCTCAGAACGGTTTTTTCTGAGGTTCATCTTATCGAAAATGCCACGAAATTATTGCACGCAAACTGCGTGTATGCAGGGTATAGCAGGAAAAGTTATTTACAGGATACCTGAAGAATTGCGTTCAATTGTTATGAACACTAGCCAATCTCAACTTGAGTTCCTCTCAAAAGAAACGAAACTTTTTCCATGCTATTAAACATGCTTTTTCTATAATTCTCGATGTTTTAATTTGCAAATGCTAGAAGGTAAGATTTTGACTGTTACAAATCAACAATCATCATTTTCTTTCGTACAAACTGAATTGTATCAATAGAAAATCGTGGACTTTTTCGTTAATTAATCCTCAAATAGCCGAAAGATTTGTTATTCAATTGAAATGCAGAAGCTATTCTGAGTTTTGCCATTGTAGACGTACTAAGTAGTCCGGAAAATGTGCAATATGAACCTTAATTAGTTAATATGTGAACTTATGTACATATTTATTTAAAATATATTGCTATACTTACCTTAACGTATTATCAATAACGAGGGAATATGTTGATATATCTATTTGTCGTTTTAGTATATTTTGCTGATTGTAACTTTATTTAACATGAATAAAAAACTTTTGCGATATGTTATTGAGCAGTTTATTACAAATTGTTGCATCAACTAACTAGCTCATGTATTCTACTCTTCTTCTATTCTTAACATAGGCAAAGATGCAAAAGGCATAGCAGCTCCAACTCAACCAGTATATCCTGCTTAATCTAGCTGTAGGTCGCTAACAGTTTCCGTTTGAAAATAGTTTTAGTTTCAGTTAAATAAATCCTCAGGCGTTCGGATACTTCACTTAAATGACACGAATACATTTTAAAATCATATATGTTTAATATTAAATACGTGAAAAAGCAGGCTTTTGTATTGGCTATTATTAATATGGCAAAATAGAGGAAAACACCTATATTTGGATCCAAGCAAATAAAACAAAATGTTAATTTGGCAATAAGTATTTAATGTTTTTCATTTAATTGAATAATGTATTTCCTTATGAATTTACTTCGCAAATGTAATAACGGGAAGTGGTGCATAATCTGGATTGCCAATATCTTGGGCTTTTGCCGTTATTATTTTTCCCTAGTTGAAGACAATGGGTACCACTGCCCGTCATATTAGGTTCATTTCTTCCCCATAACGTATAATTGAGTACGTCTCCTGTCTCAATCCATGCCCAGGAATCATCGCTTAAGTAGGCTCCGCCCATCCAGTATGCTCCTAAGAGAAAACAATGGGGACTTTCTGATACAATTCAGCTTTAAATCTAACTTACTTCCAGAAACTGCTAAACTAGTTTCATTCATTAAATCGTATAGCTTGAGACTCTCGGCTTCCGTTTCAATCCTAAGCAAATCCATATCAATCATTTTACATCCGGCCAAAGCATGAAGAAAAGTGGTCTATAATTATAATTATAGCCATTTAAAGTAATTTTTATTGTTGCGTTGTGAGATGTTAATTGAGTTTTATTCCAAGAATATATTAAATAAAGTAATAAAATATACTCACTTTGTATTCTGAGACGTAGTAAGTATCATCCAAGGGAAGCATCAAAGATGATGAACCATAGGAAATTAGAAAAAATACCCCTAAGGAGACAATGAAATAAAGCTTGGACATGTTGCTTTGTGTGATACATTTAAATGCAACGATTTTTTTATATATATTAAGCAAGACCCGGTTCTTATCTTTTCGAATTATGCAACGAGTGGGGAAAAGATCAAAAGACAAAGCTTTGTTTTCATACTCGAGGTCAAGGGTTTTCGTTAATTGATTATGTTTTATTTGTTTGACTTTGGTAATAGCTCTTGACGGCTCAAGAGCTATTACCAAAGTCCTTTTTTGTAGTATTTACGAAGCACAACGACACTTCATATTTTGAAATGAAATAATTCGATATGTTTTAGTTATTCGTATGGCATATAAACACAAAAGTAGAAGTATACAACAGACAATACACAAATATACACAGAGCTCAAGTATACCAAGACAAGCCACATATAAAATTAACTTAAATAATAATATTGTAACGGAAATGGCCTGGGGTACTCACGTTTGGAATGGGGATCGAAATTCATGGTATTTCAGTAAATGGGAGCCCCATTTGGGCCCCATTTACTGTCAAATATGACACTGACAAGCGGGCAATTTCGCACCTGGACTGGAGACTTCTAGAACTATCTGGAATACCTGGAGAAAAGTATATAAGCGACGACTAGTACCAGACGGGGGAGAGTGAAGTGACAGCCGCGCCTGAGTGCAGAAGAAGTTAAACCCGCGAGTCGGAAATCCGTGTTTTCCGTGTGTTATTGTTATCGTTTGTGAAGTTGACATTAATTTAGAAGTTAGTTTGTTCCTGTTCCGTAGTTAAAGTTGTACCGAGTGGAATAAAAGTTGTAAGCTGAGGAAAGAGTTTAAATACTCGGCCATCCACGTGACAATATCTAAGTCTCTAATCTAAGTTAGTGCTGAAACATCAGCCATCATGAGATCGTTCCAGCTCCCTTGAAAAGACCGTAGGGGGCAATCCTCACTAATGTGTCTGATTGTCTAGTTTGGAGTTCCGCAGTCACACCTCGGAGACTCCACAGCACCGCATCTGAAGAGTGAGTCTGCGCACCGTCCATGACCTGTGCGGGTTCTGTTTAGTTTGACCCATAGTTTCCTATGCAGCTCTGTGCCTGCAGTGTCGAAGTTATAACTTTCAAACCATTCTCGTTCCTTGGGGTTTACAACAACTCGGTAGTGTTGGGCCCATAAGTTTCTGATATCCACGTTATTAACAGCTAGTTGTTCAGCTTGCCAGAGCGGTGGGTTTCTGGAGCGAACTCTATTTTGTCGTAGAGTAGGTATATATTCCTGTACAGGTAGTTCTAGGTTATTCTATATCTTACGGTGCTCTCTGAGCAGGGCCTGGGTTCTACAAATTGCAGGAGGTTGGTGTTGCTCAGTACGGTAAGCCAGGCAATAGGTGGGTGTTGATCGGATTGCTCCAGTTATTAATCGCATTGTATGATTCAACTGGACGTTGATAAAATTTGTGTGGGAGCTGTCTAGCCATACTGGAGCACAATACTCGGGTGTTGAGAAAACCAGTGCGATGGACGAAGTGCGCAGGGTGTCCGCTGAAGCTTCCCATGTTGTACCATAGAGCTTTTGGATGGTATATTGCGCGTTTTCATTTTAGCAGCGGTATTCTCAAGGTGGTTCCTATAAGAACGAGTACGGGCGACGGTAACGGTATTTAGGGTGCTTGTTGTGCCGAAGAGTGTTTCCATTAAATTGCACGTTGAGCTCCCTGTTTGCCTGTTTGTTGTTCAGATGAAATGTGCAGACCTCAGTTTTGCTTTCACTAGGTTGCTTTAAGTCGCCACTTTTTAAAGTAAGTGCACAGGGAGGCTAGATCCTCTGAGAGAGTTGTCTCCGTCAGGCCCAGACCTTTGGCTCTATAGGCGAGAGCGATTTTACCAGCGTGGCAAAA